CAAGTTTTGATGGAAGTGGAAATGCAGTAATTGGCTTTTTCCAGAGCTGTACTGGGAACAAAAGTTTTAATCTGCTGCTGCATTGTTGCAAGATTGCTTTAAACAGCAGTCGCTCAGGCCTTTGAGCTCAGCAATGTCTTTCTACCATCCACCTCACATGAATAATTCTGATGTTTCCTCTTTTTACACTGATCCAGCCAGTTCTATTTTTTTTCCTTTGTTGATGTGGCTGTTTGTTTTAAAAAAATATTCCCCATCTCTTGTATTCCTGAAAAAAAAAAAAAAGGGATTTTGCTGCCAATTTCATCTTCCCCTACACGTAGGTTAGGCTCTTGTACAGATTCGATGGTCACACCTTACTTTCCAGTAAATCCTACCAGGGCGGCTGCGCTCCCGGGAGCCTTGAGCCCAGCCCTTGCCAGCCCCGCCATCCCTGCGGTTCAGGGAATCCAGGCTGAGTTCTGTGAAGTTTCCCAGCTTGTTGATGGAGCAAAGTGGGGAGATCTCAAGCCTGGTTCTCACTAGGCTTTGACAATCCCACGTCACGCTTGCGGTATTGAAAAACAATTGGTGTGTTATCACCACAGGCTCTAAAATCACTACCAGTAGCAAAAAAAAATCCCAAACCCACCAGTTTCTCTGGAACAGTGGAAAATGTGAGGTGTTTGGATGGGCAGGGGGCACAGTAATTTTTGAGAGAAATAGCCAGGAAGAGAATCCAAGGCTGCGGAGCAGATGCAGCGCCGTGCCCAGGGGGCTGCTGTCTAGTGTTCAGCGTGTTAAGCCCCCTTCATCTGCGGCCGTGTCGCTGCTCAGCTGGCTTCGCCCGCAGCCCAGTGATGCTGCACGTATGTAGGTCAGAGCTCTTCTGGATCTGGTAAGCGTTAAATCAAGCTTGCACTGATCCTGGTTGCTGCAATCTTTTCAGGTATTTGCTTTAGTGTTAAGCTTCTCCCTTCCTCCTCTGGGTTCTCAGTGGTAAAAGGCCCTTAATTGTAATTTATCTGTGGCTGATACGTGGTGCAATTATCTTTACGGCTCAGGGTGGCAATGCTTAGGTTTAGGATTATTTGCATTGCAACAATTGCCTATGTGTATAACAATTGAAATGGGGAAACCCATTTTTTTTTTTTTTTTTTTTTTTGAAAAATCTTGTTCTTTGCCTTGCAGCTTTGGTGAAGGACGGGTCTTTTGTGTTATTAATACTGACTTACTCACAGGACTTTGGCTATCAACGCTGCAGCAGCTGCTTTTTCATGACCGATAACAGAAAGCATCTGGACGAGCTGGGGAGGTTCATTGTACGATATGTAGGGCACAGTGGGAGGTGGCTGTCGTGTGATTATGGAATATCTGTGACAGCCATCTGCCACTCTTTTTGGGCGTGGGGTGTTTTTGTTGTTTTAACTTTCCCATACTCCTAATTTGACAGCTAAATCCAAAGTCCACTGTGTACTGCATTTTCTCCTTTAGAAAGCTGTAGCGAGCTGTATCAAGCTCATCAGTAGCACCACTTAGAACGAAAATTCCTACACAGATCATAATTAAGCATGGAACTTAGCTTTCTGCCCATTCCTAGATTTTATTAGGTTTGTCTTGTGCAGAGCAAACCCCCTCCCCCCTCTGGTGAGCCTGATTTGCAGTCTGAGAGCTCGCGCTGATTGTGAGCCAAATCAGAAACCTTGGTCTTTGGCAGTGGTCGGGAAAGGGGATTTAGGATTTGCAGATATGTTTTCCACAGACTATGTTCTGCCATCATCTGATCCAAGGAGTTTTAATATAAATAAACCCCAGAACATTTAGGGAAAATAAAGGCAGTGTTGTTTCTTTTTTTTTTTAGCACAGTGAATGTGATCCTCTGCATTGGAGTACAAGATGGAGCGACAGAGGAGGAAAGAGGTAAACGTGATGATGGTACAGTCAAAAGTTCACATTAGGCATGGTTTGGAGGCTTCACACACACATATATATGTGAGATAGATATATAAAAAAAATAAGCTGTTCACCATTCATCAGGAATTAATTATCTGGTTACTAATACCAGGATCTTTGAGGAACCTCTCTTAGCATCAAATTCTAATGTAAAAGCATTACCTGGCATTTTCAGATGTTCACTCAACGATATGGGGTGAAGCGGGCTCCACAGTAATTCAGGCTGGAAGGGGCCACGGATGGTGCTCTGGGTCGCGCTCTGAATTTAGATCCATCTTCAAAGTCTGATCAGGTTGCTCAGAGTCATCTTCAAGCATGGTGTCACTAACGTGCTGCTCAGCATCCTAAAGCTGATTCCCAAGTCAGGCAGTTGTCACCAACGGTGCTTTGGAATTTATGTAGAAACCAATTTAAGCGATATGACCCGATGTAGAGTAGCCTGTCACCTGAGCTCTAAGAGATTCATTCTGGCTGAGTGTCTGTATTGGAATCTTCCAACTCTCCGGAGAGTCAGCCCTAACCAACAGACTACTTCAATATTAAAATACTTCTAATATTTGCAGTGTTACTGGTTATGTCACTCGGGTAGAAAACTAGGGAAA